AGAGAAGGAGACACAGAATCCGAAGCAGGCTCCAGGCTCTGAGCTGTCAGCACAGAGCCCGACGTGGGGCTCGAACTCACAGACCATGAGATCATGACCTGAGCCGAAGTGGGAGGCTTAACTGACTGAGCCACGCAGGCACCCCCACCAGCGGTACCTTTGAATGCAAGTCCCACGTGAGGCCCATGCACACGAAGCATCTATACACGTGGGAGCAGTGACATGGCACGTCGGGGACAGAGCGACAGCTAATGAGTCGGCTTTGCTTCTTACCCCAAAATAAGACACAGATGATCAAAGATTCAAAGGGGAAAAAAATGAAGTCATGACAGTACTAGAACCGAGGAAAAGAATTTTTAAAAATCATACTGAGAGGTGGGCCTTTCTAACTGACTTTTTTCCCTTACAAGAGTCTGAGGGACTAAAACTCTGGGACTTGATGAAGGAAAAAACGTGTGCAATCTGGCAGTCATGGGCTAGTTAATTCCCAGAACTCACTAAAATCACCGAGTTGAAGATAGCGGCAGACAACCTGGGCCACTGAGACTGCCCGTGAGGATGGAGGCCAGCACAGAGGCCCCGGCTCCTCCCGACCCGTGGCACTGAGCACCAGGCAAGAGAGCAGCAGCCTGGAGCTGGCACAACATGCAAGGCGGGCACCAGGGGCTAGGGGTGTGGGCGCTCCAGCATCCAGAACTCAAGCGCCACCATCCTTGGAGAAGGGCACCCACACCCCGTGTGCAGTTCTCCCCAAGGCACATGCCAGCTACCAGCTACGCAGAGAGGCGCAAGGAGCACCTGCCAAGAAAATCAAAGCTAAGCAGAGAATTCAGCAGTGTGAGGGCGACGGCGTTGAACTGAGACCCTGGAAGGGCTGTGCCCTAGGAGTGAGGCAAACCACAAACAGGCTCACCTCAACTGAATACAGGCCTCCTGCCCATCCTCTGTCTGCTGGAAGGCAGCATCTTTCAGAATCTCTACCAGTTCTCAAACAGAAACTACCAAGCACACCAGAAGACAGGACCAAGTGACAGAAAACCAAGAGGCTGCAAAGGATCAATACAAATAACACTGACAACTTAAAACAGTAACGGTATCTTGTGATGTTTAAAATATATATGTAATTAAAACACACATAAAAAAAGAAGTTGTAAAACTAAAATACACAAAAACAACAGCACCAAAGGCTAAAGGAAGATAAACAGAGGCAAAATATCATGGGATACTTGTCTTATCCGGGAAATGGTAAAAATAATTTATAGCCAACTCTAAGATCCATATTAAACTGCCTTGTATAACCATTAGAACAGAAACGTGCAACTCCAGCTAAGAGAAAAATAAAAAGGTGAATACTTAAGGGGCGCCTGGGTGGCTCAGTCGGTTAATTGTCCGACTTTGGCTCAGGTCATGATCTCATGGTTCAGGGGTTCGGCCCCACATCAGGCTCTGTGCTGACAGCTCAGAGCCTGGAGCCTGCTCTGGATTCTGTGTTTCC